CGCGCGCTACAGCAACAAGGAGCTGAAGGGGATGCTCGTGTGGTCGCCCAACCACTGCGTGTCGGATGCCAAGCGTGAGTGGGTGGGAGCCCGGCTCCATGCACATCCCCCAGAAGTGTGGGTGCAACCCCTGCCCTGGGCTCAGGCTTGGAGGCCTCCCGTGTGTGGGGGCGGGGGGGGGGCGGGGAGGGGCAGGGTTAGGACCTGCAATCCCTCATCCAATATCTGCCCCCTCCCCCGCCCCCCTGCAGTTGACAAGTACATCGCGATGGCCAAGGAGAAGCACGGCTACAACATCGAGCAGGTGAGCCGCGGCCCCGGGGTCTGGGTGGGGCCTGGGCCGGGCCGGGCGGCTCCGGCTGAGTCGCGCCCTCCCCCGGGCCAGGCGCTGGGCATGCTCCTGTGGCACAAGCACGACGTGGAGAAGTCGCTGGCCGACCTGGCCAACTTCACCCCGTTCCCGGACGAGTGGACGGTGGAGGACAAGGTGCTGTTCGAACAGGCCTTCGGCTTCCACGGCAAGTGCTTCCAGCGGATCCAGCAGATGGTAAATCCCTCCCTGCGCCCGCCATCCTCCGCCCCCCGCTCCTGCGCCCCGGCGCGGTGGCCCCAGCCTCTGGCCTTGCCCCTGCAGCTGCCCGACAAGCTGATCCCCAGCCTGGTGAAGTATTACTACTCCTGGAAGAAGACGCGGAGCCGCACCAGCGTGATGGACAGGCAGGCTCGGCGGCTGGGGGGCCGCAAGGACAAAGAGGAGAGGTGGGGGCCCCGGGGCGAGCCAGGGTGCGGGAGGGGCCGCGCGGAGCCCCCACCTCACTCTTCCTCTCCCGTGTCAGCAGCGATGAGCTCGAAGAGGGACGAGGGGCTGTGAGTGAGGGAGAGCCCGATGCCGGGGACCCCAAGAGAGAGGTGAGGTCTGAGAGCTGGCCGGGCCCGCCTGCCTGCCCTCTCGGTGGGCTCTGTGCCACCGCCTCCTCTCCTTTCTCTGGCAGCCCCTGCCCTCTCGGCCCCTGAATGCCCGTCCAGGCCCCGGGAAGAAGGAGGCCCAGGCGTCTCAGTATCGCCACCACCCGCTGAGGACGCGCCGGCGCCCCCCCAAGGGCATGTACCTGAGCCCCGAGGGCCTCACCGCCGTGTCTGGAAGCCCAGACCTTGCCAACCTCACGCTCCGAGGCCTTGATTCCCAGCTCATCTCCCTCAAGCGTCAGGTGGGGGCGTGCAGGGGGAGGAGTCTGCAGCTGGGAACTGGGATTGGGCAGCTGAGGGGTGAGGGAGCCGGTGCGGGCGCCAAACCTGCTGCTGCCCCTGCCTCGCCTGCTGGCCTGTGGACAGGAGCGGGGCACAGCCGAGTGGCTGCGGGGTGGAGTGAGAGAGGTGGTGGGTGGCAGAGCTTTGTGGGAAGTGGCACTGGTGTGTGCAGCACCAGAGCCCTGGGGCGGCTGGTGTTGACCGGCTCCCGGATGGACAGCTTGACATCCCTCCATTGCCCGGGCTCCCAGGTGCAAAGCATGAAGCAGACCAACAGCAGCCTCCGCCAAGCCCTGGAGGGCGGCATTGACCCGCTCCGCCCCCCCGAGGTGAGGCTGCTCTGGAGTTGGGGTGCAGGAAGGGGTTCTCTGGAGGCGGACAGAAAAGGGTGTTCTGCTTGGAGACCGGAGCCTTGGTCTTTGTGTCTTGGAGAGTCAGGGATGTTCCTTGCTCTTCAGGTCAACACCAAGTTCAACTCCCGCTGGACCACGGATGAGCAGCTACTGGCTGTGCAAGGTGGGTGTGACGAGGAGAACAGAGGGCCCCGAGGAGAACAGAGGGCCCCGGGCATGCCTTCCCCGCCCACCGAGGAGCGGGGCGGGGGGAGGGTCGGGAAGGAACCAGCTCTCAGTGCTCTCTCTGTGCCCCTCGGCCCGGCCCGCAGCCATCCGCAGGTACGGCAAAGACTTCGGGGCTATTGCCGAGGTGATTGGGAACAAGACCCTGACGCAGGTGAAGACCTTTTTTGTGAGCTACCGGCGCCGCTTCAATCTGGAGGAGGTGCTGCAGGAATGGGAGGCTGAGCAGGATGGGGCCCCGGCAGCCCCGGTCCCCATGGAGGAGGCTAGGAGAGGGGCTCCCTTGCCAGCCCCGGCCCTAGAGGAAGATGACGAGGTGAGAAGGGGAGGGACCCTTCAGAGAAGAGAGGAGCGGAACCACCCACGTCCCTGGGTTGGGCTGAGGGTGTGGCGGAGCCTGGTCTCACTCTTCTCTTCCCTTTCAGGTCCAGATCACGTCTGTCTCAACCTCTGTGCCCCGACCCGTGCCCCCTGCGCCACCCCCTCCTCCTCCTCCCGCCTCCCTGTCCCAGCCGCCCCCACTGCTGAGGCCACCTTTGCCCACGGCTCCTACCCTGCTTCGCCAGCCGCCCCCCCTACAGCAGGGCCGCTTCCTCCAGCCCCGGTTGGCCCCCAACCAGCCCCCACCACCTCTTATCCGCCCGGCGGTGGCTGCCTCCCGCCACAGTGCCCGCCCTGGCCCGCAGCCCCCGCCCACCCTGATCGGAGCCCCCCTGGAGCCTCCCGCCCCCTCGCTCTGAGCCCTGAGGCTCCAGAACACCTTTGCTGGATGCGCGAGCACCCTGGCTTCGCTGGCAGAAGGGACTAGAGCTCTTGCAAGGTCTTTCAAAGACCCACAGCTGCTGGCCTGGCCACCTCTGGCAGCTGAGCCACCTCCCACCAGCCCGGCTGGGGCTGGGCCGGGGCCTCTGGGCGGCCTGCAGTGGCTGCCTGTCAGCTGGGGAGTGGCCTTAGGCCTGCCCTTCGTGTAGAGGGTAGAGGGGTCCTGATGGTAGCTTGGGGGGTGAGGGGAGGACATTTGGCCTGCTGGCAGTTCTTCCTCTTTCCCTTCTTTTAGCAATAAGTCTGGGGTGAGGTAGGGAGGGGCTGGAGGGGGGAGGGGGCAGAGAGGTCCTCGGCCTCGACAGCAGCTGAGACTTAAGGGGCAGCTCTCCCCGCTTTGGCCACAGGAGAGGCCTCGAGGGAAGTGCTGAGCTTGCAGTGCCCACTTCACTCACCACCCGGAAGCTTAGAGAAAGGAACAGATGCAGACATGGGTTTATTTTTCAATGTTTTTAAAGAAATAAAACCTTCCACGCCCACTGCGTCCTCTCTCCCTGTTGGTGTAAGGACCCTGGCCCCGCTTCCTGACTGCCATGGGGGTGGGAAGGCGTGCCCCTGGCCCAGCCAGGGGTCCATTCTCCTGCAGGGAAGGCAGCTGGGCTGCATCGTGCCCACAGGGACTGGGTCCCTGCCCAGTGGGGGGAAGAAAGGAGGAGGTAGCTCAGATTCCAAACATTCTCTTTATTACGTGTTTGATCCAGAGGAGGAACTAAGTGCAGGAGTGGGGGGCTGGGTGAGGAGGGCCGCCTTGCCTGGGAGCCCCTGGCCACCACCACCCCCTTGGGAGCCAAGCCATGCCCTCCCAGCCCCTTGGAGCACCAGGGCTGTTCCACAGGGCAGGAGGGGAGGAAGGGGGAGGAGGGAGCCCTTGGCCTGAGCCGAGCCCGAAGCTGGGCTTGGGGGCAGGAGGACTGAGGTTGGCAAGGCCCCTTCCTGGGACCCAAGGGCTTGAATCGCCAAGGAACCTGGCCTGGGAGTGGGGTGATGAGGAGGGGTGGAGTCATCATAAATCAAAAAAATAATAAAATAATAAAATAAAAAATAAAACCCATCACAAAAAATGTACAACTCAGGTGAGGGTAGGGGCAGCCTCTCTGCTGGACCCCTTCCCCCAATTTCTCAACAACAGAAACAGCAGAGAAATAAATTAAGGGATGCAGCGGCCGCCACCAGCCAAGCGCCCACCACCAGCCACTCCCACCCTGGCCACAGGCTGGCGAGCTGGGAGTGGCCTGGCCCGTCCCCTGCCCCGTGGAGGGCGGGGCCCGGTCCTGCTGCCCCATCTGGCCCAGCGGTGGCCTGGAGTCCGGGCAGTGTCTCCTGAGTGGAAGGGTGACTGTCAGGAAGAAAGGCAAGGCCAGAGATGAGTGGTGAGGGAAGCCACTGCTATGGAGCTGGCTGGTGCCCAGGTTAATGCCGATGAACGGAGCGGTGGGAGAGGAGCGGCGAGTGAGCTGGCCTCGCTCTGAGCTTTCAGACAAAAGGCTCTCCCACAGCGGAGAATGCCCAGCCTGGCGGCCCCCTGGGGCCAGGAGCCCATCTGCCCACAGCCCCCTCCCCTCCCCTCTCCCAGCCCTGGGGTCAGCCCCGCCTGCGTCCCCGGGAGGGGGTGGGACAAGATGGCACAGACTCGAGGGGGGGACAAAAGTCCCCACAGCAGCTTGTGGAAGGAAATGCCCAGCTCTGGGGGAGGGGGGCAGAGGATACAGTGTGGGGGGAGGCCAGAGCCCCACGTCTCGCTGCCAGCCCACCCACCTCAGGCCGCACAGCACCCCCACCCCAGCCCCTAGCCCCCAGGCTCCGGCCCAGGGGCCTGAGGTCGGGGGAAGGCCACCTCTGGTGGTTTGCTTGGAGGGGAGGGGGAGAGGGAGAAGCCCAAAGCGGGCCTGGCGGAGGGCCTGACCGGGAGCTCCACCACTCTTGCCTGAGAGTGTTCCAGCCCTGAGCCACCCTCCCAGGAAACCCCACAGATCCAGTCTCAGCTGTCCCGAGGGGCAGGGAGGAAAAGTGGCCGCTGGGATTTTTTTTTTCTTTTTTTCTTTTTGGTAATAAAAAAGTTCTTGGTTTAGGCGAAATACTCTGTGCAACCGCAGTACCGAGGGGGAGCCCTGCCCTGCCCTCCTCCCTTCCTTGACCTCCTGTGGGAGAGGGAAAGGGCAGCAATGGGCAGGGTCAACGTGGGGAAAGACCACCTCCCGTCCCCACGCACATGGAGGAAGAACGGAGCGGGCGGGAGGGAGAAGTGCCAGCAGGGGAGACACGCCGTCCGTCTGCAGTCTCGCCCGGGGGCCGGAGCGCGGGCAGCAGCTAAGTCCAGCGCCCGCCTCCGTCGCCCCCGCTCCTGGCAGCCTGTTAAAGCTTCAGCTCGTTGGCTATTTTGGAGGCGATGTTCTTGAAGGCCATGGAGGTGCCGGATATCCGCTTAAAGCGCACCCCGTTGAGGGAGAGCCGCGGCAGTTTGCACACCTCCATCTCCCACTGCACGAAGTCCTCGTGGCCCGGCGTGCCGTGCATGCACAGCAGCATGTACTTCTCGTGCAGCTCGTTCTGGCAGCTGTTGGCGTCCAGCACCTTGCGGATCTCCCGCATCATCTCGTTGGGCTCCATGGAGCTCGTGGTCTTCATGCTCCACGTGAAGCGCAGCGAGCGCGGCTTGGCCTCCCGGGACTCCTCCTTCTCCTTGTCGCTGCCGCCGCCGCCCACCACGTGAGGTCTGCGGGGGGCAGAGCAGCGTCAGCGGGGCCGAGGCCTCCCCCACGCACCACCCTGGCACCAGGCACCACCCTGGCACCAGGGACCCTGAGAGCAGAGGGCGGCGAGAGGCGTGGGTAGTCCCGGCCTCCCCCTGGGCAGAGGTGAGGAGAAGCCAGGCAGCAGCCAGCCTACCCAGGCAGGGCAGGGGTACAGCCATGCTTCCCTTTGAGTGGGGAGGGTCAGGGAGGAACGGGGTGGGGGGAAGGGAAAGGGGGGGCACCGCTCAGCAGCCTGAGCTCAGGGCTGGACACGGGAAGTGCGGAGGCCCAGACAGGTGAGCAGAGCTCCCCCTTCCCGAGCACACCTGGCCGCAGGCCCCCCTGAGCTGGGCATGGGGTTCTGAGGAAAAGGGAAGCCTCGAGAGGGTGGGGAAGGCGTGGCAGGAGGAGAGGAGCAGGAGGCGTGGCAAGCCCGGCGGCCGGGGCAGGGCCGCGCTGGCTCCAGCCCTCTCACCTCAGAGTCTCCACTCGGTCTTTGCTTTCAGGTTCGTTCAGGTTCCTCAAAAAACAGAGCGAGGGAGAGTTTAGTGCTGGGATTCTCGCTCCTTCCACAGTGCAGACCCAGTGAGGCAGTCCAGGGAGGTGCCACCGCGGGCAGGCAGGACGGCCCAGAGGCCGCTTTCCCGTCACCTGGCAGCCAGCACGGCTCTGGGCACCTCACACCGCAGCTCGACTGCCCCTTCCACCAGGGAGCCCGGCCCTCCCCTCAGTCCCAGATGTGCGGGCAGGGAGGTGCGGAGGGGCAGGCACCAGCACCCAGTCAGGGCAGGCAGGGCCCAGGCCAGGCCAGGCTGCTGTCCGGGGTCTTCCGCACTGCCACGCGGTCAGCATGGCAGGCCTGGGGGAGGGGCGGGAGCCGGGGCGACGCTCTGGAGCTGCTGTGATGTGCTCCATGGAGCCTGGGGCCGGGGGAGGGGAAGGGCCCAGACTAGCCCACCTCCCCATTCTGATAACTCCCCTGCCTGCCGGGCGGCAAGCCATCCGATTACACAGGAGGGAGGCCAAAGGGCAGGGCAGATGCCTTGGGGTGGGGAGAGGTCTGGCCCCGCTGAGCGGCTTCTCCAGCTCCTGGCTGGAAGAGGGGTGCCTGGAGCTGGGAAAGGGGTTGCAGAGGAGGGCAGGGAGAGGAGAGAGAGAGCAGCAGCAGCAGCAGCACATGTAAAAGGAACACAAAGACATCAGACACACAAATGCAGACAAGCGCACTGCGCACCCGGAGCCCGGGCTGTGCGAGGGAAGGAGCTGGCTGCTCTCCGGCCCCACCTGGCTCTTGCCCTGTGGGCGGAGGCGCCTGCAGGGCTGGCCCCCACATGAGTCAGCAGCCAGCCATGCAGTGAAGAGCTGGGTGGGGTTCGTAGGTGGAAGGGGAAGCCTGAAGACCCTGTGTCTCTGTCAGCTGCGGCACCAACGTGCCGACCAGGTGTCCCAGCCCAGGGCCTTGGGAGCCTTGGTCTTCAGCTTGGCATTTGGTATTTGGCCTACCCAGGCCTCCAGGGAGGATGAGGAGAGCCTGGGAGTGGGGAGTGGGGCGGATAGCAGAGCCAGGACCTGGCCTAGGGAGGGAGATGTCTGAGTGAGGGGGGTCTCCCCGTTTTGCCAGGACCCTAGGACATCCCAGCTCCTGGCTCTTAGGAAGCCACAGGCCATGGCTGTCAGCCCAGAAGGGAGGCGGCTTGGTTCATCCAGATACTGCTGGAGGCAGCAGGTGTGCTGGGGTGGGGTGGGGGGGCGAGTTCTGCAGGAGCTGCCAGAGGGGTGCTGTGCCCCACTCGTGTACCCCGAGTCCCTGCAGTACCTCCAAAGTCCTGCCATGCCTAGGACAGGGGCAGGAGGTCAGAGCCCAGAGGTTTGCAGGGATAGCGAAGGGGAAGCCCGGAGGCCAGAATGAGACCATCCCAGGTGCACTGTCCACCTCGGCAAGGAGACCCTCTTGGGAGCGCATGCACAGACAGGGCAAGGGCCAGAACACAAACCCATGTTCGAGACCAAAGACCAAAACCCAGGGCTGGGGGTGGGGGAGGAGCCAATCTTAAAGGGAGAGTTCCCTGAGAAGAGCCCCTTGCTTGGGGAGAGGCCATCATCTCCACAGCCATCCGCCCCGAGTGGGCAGATGAGGCCTCACGTGGCAGCCCAGTCTGAGCCGTCTTCATCCCTTTAAGATGGCAGAGGGCCACACAGATGTGGTTAGCAGACAGCGGGAGCAGGAGCCAGAAAGGGAGTTAGTGACAGAGGACACAGGACACAGGACAGACACACACACACACTGGGCTCAACGCCTACCTTCTGGCAAACCTGAAAGACAGATTTCTAAAAAAACAAACAAAAAAAAGACAAAATAAAAAAAGAAATAAAAAAACAAAAACAACAAGACGGTATGTGGATAAGCAGGTAGGGGGTGGACTTCACAGGTTCAAGGGTCACCCCGTTGGTGGAAGAGCCGCTCAGCGAGACTAGAGTCCCAGGCACGGGATCTGCTCGTGCCCCCTGCAGCCCTGCACCTGAACTCCAGGGCTGGCGAGGGGCACGCTTGCCTACCCCAGCTGAGCGGGCTGCAGTGCAAGGGAAGGGCAGGCTGCCTGCTCTCGCCGGCTCCTGCTGCTTCCTGAGCTGCACCGAGGTGGCAGAGGAAGGACGGGGTAGAGACAGGGACTATCCCAAAGGCCAGACTCCTGGGTGCACCTCAAGAATCAAAACTGCCCCTTTGTGGTGGTGGGAGCCAGGTGTGGGAAACTTCCTAAAGACTCCCCACCCTGGTTCCCACACAAGAAAATCAGTGCAGCAGGCTGCGAGGGAGGAGGCCGCCTGGGCCCCCACCAGCTGCTGCCCTTATGGCCTTCACCCTGCAGCCTGAGCCAGAGAGCATGGCTGCAGCGGAGGGAGTGGCTGCAGTGAGACCCCTGGGCTCGGGGAAAGGCAGTCAAAGGGGCAGACGGGAGACCAGGAAAAACTCCTTGCTGGCCCAGCCTGGCTCAGGTCTCATGACTTTGCAGCTGCGTCACCAAATATAAGTTTCCATGGGAACCCAGGAGAAGAGGGGGCTTTTATTTTAGCATCTGAGTTCACACTCTCCTAGAGAGGAGGCGGCATCAGCATGGGCCATCTGCTCAGGCCAGAGAATTAGGTGCATGTATAAGGAGTTGGGGAGACCTGAGAGGGACTAGGAGGGTTTGGGCACCTGAGTTGTGGACAAAGACCCAATTTTGTAGGCTTCCAGAAGCCTCTCTTAACCCAAGCCCCAAGCCCCGAGCCAGGTCCCCCATCCCACCCGCAGGCAGACAGGAAGGCCTGGCCTCACACTCTGCCACCTCAAGGCCCCTACTCACCTTCGTACGAACTTGGAGGTGAATTTGCTGAAAATGCTCCCCGAAGCCCCCCGCCGTCCTTGGCTGTTGCCAGAGGGAGAGGCTGGCGTTACACCGTAGGGCAAATTCTGCTGGTCCCGCACTTGCCGGAGCTGCCCAGCGTGGAAGGTGCTCCGGCTGGACACACCCCGGGGGAAGTTAGTTCGGTCGGGGGCTCCTCCGCTGCTGCTGATGTTGTGGGCGGAGGGGGAGGTGACGGGGACACGCTGGGGGGCTGTGCTGTGGGAGAGAGCAGGGGGAGGGGAAATGCATCAGGGCCCGGGAGGCCATCCCGCCGAGCACCTGGAGCCCTGGTGGGAGCAGGGAAGGACGATGCGAGGGCAGAGGCAGCCATCACAGAGGACACAGGAGGAGGGGTGACCACTGAGGACACTGGTGAGGACATCTAGGTGGGCGGGAGATGGTTTGGGGAGGGAGGGAGGCGAGGAGGGATACGTGTGTGGAGAGCAGTACAGCTGGAGGTGTGGCTCCCTGGGAGCTGGGCAGACTGAAACCTCGAGGGACAATGTTGACCAACCCTCAAGGGTGAGTCCCTGTGATGCTGACTGTCCTGGGTCCTAAGGAAGTCCAGGAAGGCTCAGAACCAAAAGGCTTCCTTCTGGAGCCTCGGGACGGCTTCGGGCTATCTGTTCTGAGGGGAGGCTGGAGGAAAAGAGGGGGCATTAAGCCATTTTTGTTCCTTCCACTTCCTGGCTGCAGGGGACAAAGCCGTTTCTTGTGGCTGAGATGACAAGAACAGAGCAGGACAGGTGGGAAGAAGTTGCTGGGGGAGGGGGTGGGACCGGTTAGGGCAGCAGGTCACCAGCTGCCCCAGCACACTTGCCTGGGCCGCGGCACCTCACAGTTACTGTCCGTGGGGGGCAACCCAGTGGCCTTGTTGGGGTGCACGGAGGCCGACATGGATTTCTGGTGCTGGCGGGGTCGGGCCGCGGAGACTGCGGCAGAAGCAGAAGCCGTGGAGGCCCGGGACCCTGGCATGGTTAGGCTAGGAGACAAAAGCAGCGGAAAGGCCTGGGTTAGGGGTGGGTGGGCAGGAGGCTGGGTTAGGAGCAAGGGCAGCGGGAGGGGCCGGAGCTGGGAGCTCGGCAGGATGCAGGTCAGCCTGGGGAGCAGCGGCGGACACCGGTCAGCGCTGAGGAAGGCAGAGCTGGGAGCAGAGGGCCGGGTGAGGGAGGCGCGGTGGTCCGGGGCCTGGGAGGAAACCAGAAGTGCAGGAAAGCCAACAGGAGGCAGCTGCCTCCAGCCACACAGGTCTCCTAGGAATTCTAAGAACAAGGACGTTTCCTCTCCAGAAGGAGCAGGGTGTTGGTTGCTAAGGGGAGTTTCAATAGGCTCAGAAGAGGCGGAGTCAGGAACACACGAGATGCTGATGGTCCAGAGGCGGGGAACTCTGCTCTTGGGGCACAGCTGGGTCACTCTGTGTGCAGACCCCACAGTGGGCCTCAGTTCTGCCTGCCTGCACCTGGGGCCCAGAACAGGCCTCAGCACTGATGCCTAGAGGAGCGGGTTGCCATGGCCTGGCTGGCAGCCGAGATGACCAGGGAGTCACACTTGGTACACTGCAAGGAGCGGTGGCAGGGGCAGAGGGAAAGGGGGAGGGGAGGGAGGAGGTCTGGTGTGTGGAAAGCTGGACCAGACAGAGCGGACACACTCCAGGGCTGAGCAGGGAGGGGAGTGTGCTGGCCCAGGCCTCTCACCTGTCCTTGCCGTTCTGAATGGAGGCCTGGCCGAGGCTAGCCCGCTCCAAAAGCGGGGAATTCCTGCTTCGGTTTGTGCTGGTGGAGAGGATGCTGTTCTGTGGGGGAGAACGAGGCTGTGTTAGAGCCAGTGTCTTACTGGCAGGGTCCCAGCGCCCCTTCCCCCTCCTCCCCGAGAGCAGGCCCGGGCCGGGAAACCGGCTTCTTTCCTGTGGGGTCAGGTGGACTGAGAGCTGCCTGGAGAGGACAGGCCGAGGGGGTGGGGAGGGGAGGGGGGAGGAGGCGCGAGGACCAGCAGCGTGGCTCACCGTGGAGGGGGTGGGGGTGGTCTTCTTCCTCTCGAGGCCGGGCAGGGGGCTGGCAGGCACTTTGGCTGTGCTGCTGGCCTTCCGCCCGGACTCCCGGTCCTCCTCAGGCCGCTTGTTCTCCGCGTTGTTACTCTGAGTCTTCTTAGAGTAGGAGTTTGAGGTGGGAATGGCAGGACCAGCTGCTGGGCCAGAGTGACAGTGGGAACGGGTAAGGACAGGGCCCAGAGAGTGCCCACCCGACGCCTGCTGTCCTACAGTCTTGCCGGCAATCAGCACCACCACCCCCCGGAGGCTGAGGGAAGGGATCTGCCCAGGTCATGCTACTAATGAGTGGCTGAATGGGGAGTGAAACTCGGTTATGTCACCCAAAGTCCGGGAACTTGTGACCTCTCAGCAGGGGCGAGTCCCCACAGCACTCCCCAAAGCGCTCACCCTGGTCGCTGAAGCGCCGCTGCTTGGGGTTGGCCGAGACGCTCCGCTGTACCTTGTGGGAGGGGGAGGGAGCACTGCTGTTGGTCATATCCGCTGAAGGCCTGGGCTTCAAGGTGATGGCATCGCCTTCCTGCTGCAGGAACAGAAAAGGGGGAGAAGTTGGGCCGAGATCCACAATCCCCCAGGCACTCCTATGGACCAGGCACTGCAAGACCAACGTGCAACTGAACCTGTGGAAACAGGAGCCGACACAGACCCCACAGGCACACCAACCACCTCCCACAAAGACCCCACCTCAGAGGGGGGTACACACGCCCACAGGAACACAGAGCCAGACATAGACCTTCGTATACTCCTGGGCAGGCTAAGGGGAGAACCGAGAGGGAGCCCACCACCACCGGGAGCAGAGTGGAGGGGCCATGAGTGCTCGTGGGGACACAGATGGAGACCAAGACTCCTATCCCAGACCCCACGGACTCCGACATAAGACATGACTACCCAGATGCACAGCCAAGAGGATGGACATACATGCACACAGCTCCACATATCCAGACACAAGCACCAGGCAGAAGCAGCACAGACTCGAGACTCTTCTCAGAAAAACACAGGGACCCTTGCGTGCAGAGCCCAGAGATGCAGTTCCAAAAACCAATACATGGAAATAAAATTTCTAGGTGGACACAGAACTGACCCAGGAGAGGGACTGAGACCCAGTCTAACCAGCACAGAGCCCAATCTGCTCACCCATGTGGAAGCCCAGACCCAGGCCTAGACCACCAGCTACCCATTCATTCACTGATGTCCGGAGATCAGGGAGAGAAAGACCAGAGGGCTCTGGTCACCAGAGCTGAGGCTTGAAACTCATCAGCAGAGGCAGCACGCCCACTCAGACACGAGCTCCTGCCCTCAGTGGGGTACGGGAGCATGGGGTGCCATGGCCAGCAAGGGACCAGGGAGGGGCAGGGCACATACCTCCGAGCTCTTGTAGCCGAGGAGCAGGTAGGTGGCCATCACCTCGTTGTACCGCTGGCCCACCAGCGAGTCCTGGATCTCCTCTCGTGTGTAACCCATGGACACCATCAGCTCTGCGCAGGGAGATACAGGTAAGGCTGGGCCCGAGGCCCCGGCAGCTCACCCTCAGGCCCGGCCTCGCCTCACCTGTCCGCCGGGGGTCCTTGTAGTCAGGGAGCGGCTCCACGTAAGGCTTTAATTCGTCATCTTCGTGACCCACATTCATCCACCGATCTTTCATGATTTGCTGGGGAATAAATGAAGAGGAAGGAGCCTCAGCGTGAAGGCTTCCTCGGGAACCGGGACCTTCCGGCCCGCGGGGCTCTGGGCTGCTCACCTCTAAAGTGCCTCTCTTGCTGGGATTGAGAATGAGGAATTTCTTAAGCAGGTTTTCACAGTCTGTGGACATGTAGAACGGAATACGGTATTTCCCCCTCAGTACCCGCTCCCGCAGTTCCTGCAGGAGGGAAAAGGAAATCACCCCAAAGCCGAGGGAAGAAACCCAATATCGGGGCTCCCGAGAGCTTAGGCCTGGCCAGGCAGACAGAAATGAAATGCAGTGGGGGGCAGAGAGCAGGGACATGACCCTCCCCTGACCAGCCCGTGGCTGCATCCTGAGTGCCCCGAGGGCCTGAACGGACACACAACTGGGCCGTCTCTGGAGAAGTGAGTGACTGCCTGGCTGAGGAAGACAGCTGCTGCCTTCGGCAAGCCCTTCTCTATCGCGCTGGTGGGGCGTGTGGAGGAGGCACGGGGGAGAGGTCAGGAAGACTGGAGGCTGAGAGCGGGATGAGGAGTAACAGCAGTGATCTCAGCCTGTGCTCCACTCCACCTTGAGGTTCTGTCCATCAAACGGCAGGGACCCGCTGACCAGTGTGTACAGGATGACGCCCAGGCTCCACACGTCCACCTCGGGCCCGTCGTACTTCTTGCCCTGGAAGAGCTCCGGGGCCGCGTACGGGGGGCTCCCGCAGAACGTGTCCAGCTTGTTCCCAAAGGTGAACTCATTGCTGAACCCAAAGTCTGCGATCTTGATGTTCATGTCAGCGTCCAGGAGCAGGTTTTCTGCCTGGAGGAAGATGCAAACGTCAGGGACCCGCGTGGACCCACGAAGGCGCTGGGCAGGCGGAGCGGAGGGGACGGGGAAGCCCACAGGACGCCCTCCCGGGCTCAGGACCTCGTCCACCAGCCCGGGCAGGCCTTCCTCAGCGCGAACAGCTGGGCTGGGAGAGGGCAGCGCAGGCCACACCTCAGCGGCAGCCCCGGGAGAGCTGGGATCTGAGGGCTCAGACGCTCTGGGCTGCCAAAGCCTCTGGCAGGCTTGGGTTAACCCGGGTCACATCTGCCTTGGGTTTGAACCTCTCCATGCCCAGCACTCCGCACAGAACTGTGCGGCGGATGCCAACACAGCATCTCCCCTGTCAGCCCTGGGCTGTCTGACGGCCCAGCAGGGTCTGGAGCGGCCCTGCCTGGCACTGGAGGGTGGTGGCCCAGAGCCTCTGCCCGCGGCTGGGACGGGAGCCTGAGTCTAGTCTGAGGCCTACACTAGCAGCAGACCAGGCTTCCTCATTATCGCCAACGCATTAAAGGCTGGCGGTGCCTGGCATGCTGAGGCTGATGGAGGGAATAACCTGCCCTACCTCAAAGGTGCAGGGTGAAGAGCACGCCTTTCTTTCTTTCTTTCTTTCTTTCTTTCTTTCTTTCTTTCTTTCTTTCTTTCTTTCTTTCTTTCTTTCTTTCTTTCTTTCTTTCTTTCTTCCTTTCTTCCTTTCTTTTCTTTTTTTTTTTTTTTTTAAATGTTTTTAATATATTTTTATTGATTTTAGAAAGGAAGCAAGAAAGAGGGAGGGAAACATCAACAATGAAGAGAGAATCATGGGCCAAGACCAGTTTGGCTCAGTGGATAGAGCGTCGGCTTGGGGACTGAAGGGACCCGGGTTCGATTCCGGTCAGGGGCATGTACCTTGGTTGCGGGCATATCCCCAGTGTGGGGTGTGCAGGAGGCAGCTGATCGATGACTCTCTCTCATTGATGTTTCTAACTCTCTATCTCTCTCCCTTCCTCTCTATACAAAATCAATAAAATATATTTAAAAAAAAAAAAAAAAAAAAAAAAAAAAAAAAAAAAAGAAGAGAGAATCATGGATCAGCCTCCTCCTGCACACCCCCAACTGGGGAACCGGGGCATGTGCATCAAACCTGGGACCCTTCAGTCCACAGGTTGACGCTCTATCCGCTAAGCCACACCGGCTAGGGCTAGCATGCCTACCTTTAAGTCTCTGTGAACAATAAACTTCTGGTGGCAGTACTGCACAGCAGACACTATCTGAAAGGAAGGAAGAAGGGTTAGCCCGGAGCACCTGGGGGAGGCCAGAGCCGGCACAGCTGTGACCTTGCACCTCATCCTAAGCTGCCACTCAGACAACAAAGCCCGAAGGACCCTTACAGCAGGCAGCCCCTCCCTGTATGCCAGACCCCAAAAGGCCCCGGGCAGCCCGTACCCCAGGGAGGGCCACACTCACCTGGCGGAACTTGGCGCGAGCCTCTTTTTCTTTCATCCTGCCGTGAGCCACGAGGTAATCAAACACCTCTCCTGCAAGAGACGGGCGCAGGCTGGGTCAGAGCGTGCTGGGGCCGCGGAGCGGGCGCACAGCAGGAGAGGCAGTGCCATACCTACCTCCACTGGCATACTCCATGACCAGGTAGAGAGTTTTTTCCGTCTCAATCACTTCAAACAACTTAACTACAAGAGAAAAGGCCAAGCCGTGAGTCAAAAAAGTAGGAGGAGCCACATATTGAGCCCCAACATGGCCTGGGGCATCCTATGGAGGAAGGCCCCCCTTCCCAAGGACAAGTTCCTCCAGAGCAGCCACCGCCCAGGCAGAGCTGCACTGTGGCTGGGTTCCCCAGAGGCACCCCAGGACGGCAGCCCCAGAAGGCAGGCCAGGGAGAAGGACAGTATGTGGCGAGTGGAGCCCTGAGAGGGGAAAGAATGTGGGCAGCTGGTTCTCACCTATGTTGGGGTGATTCAAAACCTTCATTATCCTCACTTCCCGGAACAGCTGGAAAGTGAAAGTAAAACAGGGGTTGTGTTTGCTCTGCTTGCCCTCCTCAGCCCTCCAACAGGCACTGTAGGGTTCTCTCTCCAAAAAGAAGAGGCAAGGACGCGAAACAGGACAACTGTCTGCACCTCCCCTGCCCGGCCCTCAGGCTGAGGACAGGCCGGGGGAGGAAGCTGGGCTCCAACGGCTCGGACCTTGAGCTTCTGCACCTGGGCAAGCCGGCCGCCCTTGCAGTCCACCCAAACCTGCCCCGCACAGAGGAGGGCTTTGGCTGGGTACCTCAAGGAGGGACTGTGAACCCCTGGGCATGAATCCTCAGAACGAAAGTTCAGGACAAGAGAGACCCCAGCTCGGTCCAATGGATGGGGGGAGCCGTCACCTGATTACAGAAGTCGGGGGGTCCTGCACCAGAGGGCAGGCCTTTCTCCCGGGCCCCTGGGGTGGGACAGAAGCCACTCCTATATATAGCCGAAGCCAGTTTTAATCAAATCCACCTCCACACACTCACGCTCTCTGGGAACAGAACTGGGGACTCCTAGCCTTACATTCCACACAGAGAGATGACAGTGAACTCCGTCCCCCGCGGGGCCAGCGGACGGAGGCGGGTCTGTAACCTTCAGGCCTCTCCACTCCACCGAGAGCAACACTCGTTTCCTGGGGTGGAGGTGGGGGAGGCTGGGGGCCAGTTTGTGAAATGAAGTGAACAGTTTTCCCTTCAATGGTCCCCAGCACTGCCAGGAGCTGAGGGGTCGAGGCGGGCCTCCCTACTCCAGGACCTGGTCCTGACCCGCTCCCTCCCTGGCAGAGCCCGGGCTTCTGCCTCCTCCCCGGGCCGGCAGTTGTCCCGGAGCCCACCTCAGGGCAGGGCACTGAACGGGGCCCACAGGCGGCTGCCAGGGTCCTTCCCCCGAGGGTGCCAGGCTGGGAAGGGCGCCCCTGGGAGAGCTCTCTAGGACCCGAGGGGCTAGCTTCTCCAATGTTTGTCCTTTAGGGCCACCGCTGGGTAAAATCTAAGCTGAGTGATTTGGCCAGACTCAGACTGGCCTTGGTGACAGAGCGGCTAAAAGGCTTCGGAGATGGCTACGCTGTCTGCACTGGTGCCTCCAGGTCCCACCCCCAGGCAGGAGGAGGCAGGGAGGAAGGGGTCGGAGTAAGAGGCCCATGGACGCTGGCCGTCACGGAGGCGGCAGGCTGGCCTGCTCCACAGACCAAAGGGCCCTCGCACAGGCTCCGGCTCCGCGGGTCCGAGCCCACAAGCCGAGAGGAGTGCGCTCTCCCTGCCTCTGCACAGCTCCACGCAGGAGCCCATGTGGTGGCAGCGACGTTTCCTCTGAACCAGAGAGCCTTGCGGGGATCCCACGGCAGCAAAAAGAAAACACCGGTTTTGTCTGTCTGTCAGCATGTCAGCGCACCCCAACCCACACGCTCCCAATCCGAGCGCATCTCTGACAGTGACAGGCCTCGGCTCCTCATCCCCGCCTCCCAGTGTCACCGCGGTCGGCCACGAGGTGGGAAGCACCGGGTCAGTGCAGGCCAGAAGCGGAACCCGGTCAGCTGGATACAAGGACACAAAGGGAATGGACTGACCTGAAGGGGCAGCTTTGGGAGCCGGATGGAGAGGGCAGCTTCCGGTTCTACGCCAATGGTCACTAGCACACTGCCCCTCTGCCAACGCAGTCTCCCATCCTGCCTCCTACCAGCGCCTCATCGTTTCTCGAGCAGGGGGGCCCTCTGGAGGGTTCCCCACCAGCTAAGCGAGACCCTGGTTCCCGCGGTGAGACAGGAGGGAAGGCGAAGCCCAGCCTCACCGAACCAGACTATGGCGCATGACCTTGCGCTTCTAGCCAAGAGGAGCCAAGTGGGAAGGAGAGCTGAGTGCCTGCCCATCGCTGCCCTCCCTGTCACAGGTGTGAAACAGTGTGGATTGAAAGCCCATCTCCAATGCCCCCTCTCCACGCAGCTGGCACAGAGTCCGGGACAGGTTCCCGTCTCCTCTGTCCCTGTGCTCCAGAGGGACCCACTTCCATCACCAGGGCTGGAATGCATTGCTAGTGATGGCTACAACTAGTAGTTTTGCGTAGGGCTGGCCAAAGGCCAAAAGATAACAAGGTGCAGAAGTAGGTCAGATAGGTAGGCCAAGTGGCTGGGAGGGGCCAGCGAGGCTGTGACAGATGTGCCCGTGGCCAGGGAGCCCCGTCGGGAGTCAGCCCAGAGGACCCGCCAAAGGCCCACAGACAGCACAGTCCCAGAGGGACGGTGAGAGAAGATCCCCATGGGCTCAGCAGATCACTGACCCTGCCGAGAGGGTGGGAAAGGGAGGGCTGCCTGCTTACTTTCTGGAGGCTGGAGGAGTTCAGCTGAGTCTTGTCAATGATCTTCACAGCGACCTGAACATGAGACAAAAGCCCAAGATTACCTCTTTGACCAAACTAAACCCGGTAAACCTAGGACTCAAGCCACTTCCTCCTTCCTATTTCCACCTCCTTCTGCCCCATCCCTCCTGGCACTCCTGTGTTCAGATCACACTGCTGCCTGGTAAAGGAGAGGATGGCTGTGAAGCAGTCCCACACTACCGATGGGGGTGCCAACGGCTGGGAGGTGCTGCCATGCCCCTCCCCGCGCTCACCTCTTTCCCGGTCAGGATGTGCCGCGCCAGTTTCACTTTGGCGAAGTTGCCCTTGCCAATGGTCTTGAGGAGCCGATAGTTGCCAATGTGGGGCTGCTCGTCAGCAGAGGTGGCTGAGCTGCGGCCCCGCAGCATGTTGGACTTACTGCTGGGCTTGGAGTCGAGGTGTCCCAAGGTGGGCTGCAGGTAGAGACAGCGCCCGGTAAGCACCCTGCCTGCTAGGTGCCCGCTCACCCGGGAGAGGGCTGCATCTCAGAGGAGCAGCAGCAGCAGATCACTTCAATGCACTCGCTTTCCTATTCTCCCTTTGCAGTGATCAGCTGTCTATCCCGATGGAGTGAAGTTCAAGAAGACCCATGTACTCACTGATACACCCCAGCAACTAGACAGGCAGGGTTATGGCAGGTGCCCAATGAATCCTTATGCAATGAATTAACTAAATGAGCAAGGTAACCGTCTGCCCTTCTTAGCCCCCCATTGCTCAAAGGGTGTGAGGAGGCAGAAATAACAGCACTGACCAGGAACAGAAACCTCACTCCAAAAGGGTATGGTCCAGAGGAGGCCATCGAAGACCTGTATACTCCTCAAAGGGCTAACTACACACAGAATACCGCGACACAGCAATCCCACTCGTAGCTACAGACCCAAGAGAAGAGGAAATGTATGTCCACACAAAAACCTTCTTTGCATGTTCATTCAAAACATCCGTATGCATCACAGCCACAAAGTGGGAATGACCCAGATGTCCATCTACTGGGGAACAGATACTGTGGCAGATCCACACCGCCCAACAGTCACTGGCAACTTAAAGAAGTGTCCTGGCACATGCAACACCATGAATGGACTTTGAAAACATGGTGCTGCGTGAACGAAGCCAGTCATACATATTATATGATTCCGTTTCTATGAACGGTCCAGAACAGGCAATCCATGGAGAAGGGTGGCAGATTCGTGGAGGGCTGAGGGCAGAAAAGGGGGGGGGAGGTTATGGAGACAGATGCATAGCTCTTAACTGTACACTTAACTGTACACTTTAATGGGTGACCTGTATGGCATGGGAATTATATCTCAGTAAAACTGTTAAGAGTCTGGTCCGAGTCTTGTCTAGAGTCCTGATTTATCTCTCAAAGAACACACGACACCATCACTCCAGCACATGGGACAAAGCTACCGCCAGAGCCCATCCCAGACCCATCCAGCTGCCGTGGGAAATTCCGGAGATAGGCTGGAGGGGAGCAGGGTGACAGAGCGTGAGTCAAAGCTCTTCCTCTCACAGCCCCTCTGGCTGAGTGAGGCAAACCCACAGAAACCACAGAGGAGAGGCATGACTGCTACCACCAAGGAACTGTCCAGGGTTCCCCAGCTCCCCCACCAGATGCTTTTGAGGCAGAAAAACAACAACACAAAGTATCTGCTGCGGATGTTTCCCTTCTCCATTGTGTCAATGGAGGACTTTCCTTTCTGCACAGTAGCTGCTGGCTGGTTTGGGGTGAGCTGCTTGACTCATATCCCAGAAGCACATGGGTTGAACCTTTTAAAAAAATGTAATTTTGTTGGAATTGGTTTTGCTCAGTAGATAGAGCGTCAGCCTGAGGACTGAAAGGTCCCAGGTTCGATTCCGGTCAAGGGCATGTACCCTGGTTGTGGGCACATTCCCAGTGGCGGATGTGCAAGAGGCAGCTGGTCGATGATTCTCTCTCATCGATGTTTCTAGCTCTCTATCCCTCTCTCTTCCTCTCTGTAAAAAAAATCAATAAAATATTTTTAAAAATGTAATTTTATTGATTTCAGAGAGGAAGAGGGAGAGGGAGATAGAAGCATCAATGATGAGGGAGAATCATGGATCAGCTGCCTCCGACACACCTTCTACTGGGGATCAAGCCTGCAACTTGGGCATGTGCCCTTGGTTGGAATCAACCTGGGACCCTTCAGTCCGCAGGCTGATGCTCTATCCTCTGAGCCACACCAGCTGGGCGGGTTGAACCTTTGAGGAGAAAAGACTTCCTGTGGAAGGAGAGGCTGCTGGCATGTCAGCCGAGTCTCTGCTCACCCCTTGGCCTTTCAGGACACCTCTCTCTGCTGCAAGTCCAACTCCCCCAAGCTCTGCAGTGTCCCCTCCCCTACAGAGCCTCCTGCTCTCTGGCGGCCAGACACCTGCAGCTTACATAAGCCTGGTTGGTCCTCAAACAGCATTTGCTAGACCCATAGATTTTCAAATACTTGTTTTTTCCCTCCAAAAGGAACTCTAAGATTTTACCCCTTGGAGAGAAGGACCTTCCAGGCTCCACTGGCACTTGCTCTGTCTGCCAAGGGGCACTCCAAGTCCCATTCAACAGGGTCCTGCTGGCCTGGCCGCCACGGCCCACTTCCCGCCCACCTCCCCGCAGGTGCTGCCAGACCGCTGCCCGGGCCCTTCCTTCTGTCCCAACTCCCGTGAGGGGAAGGCGGTGGAAAGTTCCCTGGCAGCCTCCACCTCACCCCCGAGCTCTCACCACGCCCCCCTTTCGGAGGATGTGACTCGGCCGTCTCCAAGCCCTCAAAATCAGAATGGGGGTAGCATACACCTCAGCATTTGGGCCCTCTGCCCCTCTGAAGCCAAATACCAGGGATGGTACTGCCTGTCGTGTGCCATGCCTCTTGGTGTTTCTAGCCCCAGAGGCTGGTCTGCCTGGCATAGCAGGACAGCACTTCCTGCCACGCTGAGCTGCATGATGGATGGACTTCAAGGAACAACTGTGGCAAGAGGGGCTTAAGACTATAGGGCCAGAGACCAAGTGCCGGGGTTCAAATCCCAAATCTGCCACTTGCTAACTTTATTACCATCCACACCATCCTTCAGAGGGAGAAGAGATTATCACAAAGGGGAAGCAAAGCATCCAAAAGCTGAGTGGTGTGGGCGACCCCGCCCCTGTGTCGGAGACGGTCCTGAGATGTCCAAGAGCTCTGTCCCACGTCACTCGCTTCCACCCACCACCTGCTGCATCAGCTCCCGCATCCGGAAAGTGGCACACACTGTTCCCTACTTCCCATGGGCAGGTAAGAGGACACACACACAATGCTTTACACAACAATCAGGAAAGGGCAACTATTACTGCCATTATGTTTAGTCCCAAATACCACTGTTCTTAAAGCCAGAGCCTCCTTGTCAACAAGACTTGGGCATCTGAGTAGAGTCCTCCTGAGCTGGCTCAGCCCGATGGAGCTGGAAAGAGACACTATGGTCCTCCCTGCTGAAAAGAGGTCACGGCTGAGCGCTGGCTGCCATCCCCTCTGACTCCTGCTGCCGGCCGACACCGGCCACCCTACTCTTCGCAGGAGGGACTGGGCAGGGCAGCTGGGAAGGGCCGGTTCCAAGCTGGTATCCAGGGCAGTAAGAGCAAAGATTCTGCCTGTCTAGGACGCAGAGCCGCAGAGAGCACTGGCGTGTGCTCGCTGATCCCCTGTCCCGTTACCCACTCCCCTTTCAGGACTGAACCACCCAACGCTCGGGACGCAAAGTGTGTAGCTCTTCTCCTAACCTCTTGGCCTCTTCTAAGCTGGCCTATGTTCCCCGAAGAGGGAAGTGGTACAGGGTGAGGAGGGCCCACGGGGACACGTGAGAAATCTCCGGTAGAAAACTGTTTCTTGGGCCCAGAAGGCCAGCGAAGAGGTAAGACAGTCCTTTCCCTGGTTCTGTCCATTCCACCTGGACACATCTCACCAACAGGGCTGAGGACCAGCTGCCCTGCGGGCCAACCAAATAGGATCTGGCTACAGCCAGCTCTCCCTCTTGCTCACAGTAAGACAAGGAGCACCGGGCATAGCTAACGCTGTGGCTGACAGCACAGCCCGGGGACCCCCATGGTCTGAGGACATAGGTTGACAGCAGACCCCATGGCGCTCAGACAGCCTTCAGACACAGGAGCCACCCTTTGAGACCGTACTTGGCACCAAATGGCAGACCACCAGCAGGCCGGCTCAGGAGGGCCTAAACCGCGGCAGGGCCTCCGCAGAGGGAGAAGGGAACACAGGACGCGGGGATAAAAGGACAGGAGCCTTCCATCCAGTGGGCCTTCCGCCTGGGAGCCCAGCCCGGCCCAGGCGGCACCAGGCTTGCCCAGAAGACAGCCTCCGCCCCGAGAGGCTGGGCGCTGACTCAGGTAGGCAGGGCCCTTCCCTAACGCTGGAGGCTCCTACGGCCAGCGCTTCCCCGGAAAAGCTCCGCTGTGGGGCTCTCATTCAATGTCCCGAGGCTTCCCGGGAAGGAACCAAACTGGGAGGGTGATAGCAGGCACTCCCTGGCCAGGGCAGAGTAAGCCCGGGTGCTGCGGAGCGGAGGGAGAACAGTCCCTTGGCACTAGCCCGGGGCGACCCCCCCAGATGGCAGTCCCCCTCACTGTAGTCCCCGTGAGCCTGCCGGGGCCTCTGCTGTCACCACCCCTTCCTCTCACTCCACCTCGGGGGAGACTGTTGGTCGTTGCTCTTCCTCTCCTGGCCAAAGCCTCCTCACCCTCCCCGTGAGTTTTACCAGTGCTAGCGGCCGGCTCCATCCAGCAATCCTTCAAAGAGCCCGTCAGGGTGGGAGGGAAAGGAGAGGGAAGGGCAATCCCAGAGCAAAAACCACACCAGAGGAACACATACCCGGCTGGAGAGAGGGACAAGCACCTCCAGCAGCTTCCATCCAGCAGAGCCACGGCAGAACCTGTCAGGCAGCGAGGGCAAAGTACAGAGGCCGGGAAGAGCCAGGCCCAGGGCGGGGGCCTCCGCCAGCCACCCTTACTCAGCCGAAGCCGGCGACACCTTCCACCACCTCCTCAGTGAAAAGCAGCAAAGCAGCCAGGCCCAGCGGCTCCTGCCTGGGAACCTGGACTATGTCGCAACCGAAACTACCACTAGCAGAGCCTGGGCTTGGCAAGAAGAGCACCGGGGACAAGCCCCAGGCTCCCTGCGGGCCAGGCCCTCGCGGCCAGGAAGCACAGGAGCTCAGGACACTGCGCCGGGAGCCAGGTGGGAGGAAAGGGGCAGGAGGGGACCAGGAAGGAGGGAGACTAAGAGAGAAAGAGGCGGGTTCAGACCAACTTCCTTCTCCCTTCCCCTCCCCCGCGCCGGAAGTGGGCTGCCCCACCCTCCCCAAGGTGCTTTGCTGGGTAACAGCTGGGAGAGGGTGAGGAGGAGACTCTCTAGCCCGCTGTCGCTGTCGT